TGTACAGACTGACTGCCCCCCCCGCCCCCCTTCCCCATCCTCCTGCACTGCTTAGGGGGAGGATGTAGATGAGTTCATAGTAAAGGGGTGAAGCTGAGCCTGGGAAGAAGTGGGGTGGGTGGAAGGAAGATGGTTTAGATTTTGTTTTTGTTTCTTACCATCCAGCTCTATTTTAATTGGCAATAAGTGAAATTAATTTTCTCCATGTTGTCTGTTTTTTGTTCATGACAGTAATTGCTAAGCGATGTCCTTGTCTTTATCTCGATGCACATGCATTATCATTTTATTTTCCTCCCTCGTCCTGTTGAGGAGGGGAAGAGAGCAGCTGGGTGGGAATCTGACAGCCACCCAAGGTCAACCCACCACAAACTGTAGGGAAGCTAGCAGTCTCAGAGTCATTTCAGCCCTGCTTTTTCATCTTGATCTTCAACAGACAATTATTAACTTGGGAATTATTTCCATTTCCATTTGATTAAATGATATTAGAATTTTTGCCGTGCGACAAAAACAGAGAAGCAAACTTCACAGCATTGATTAGTTATCATGGTAAAGATTAATATTGGCTCATTTTTAATATGATGATTTGTTACCTGGCAAAATTAAGGCTCTGCATCATTTCTACTTCAGTTTCCATTAGGATTTATTTTTATTCCAGAATTTGAAATGCACATTTATTCTTTTTTTAAAAAAAATATGGGATATCAATGTCCTATAGTTAGAATATAGAAATACTAGAAATTCACAGGCTGCTAAATTCAGCACCACTGCTCAGAAGGTAATGTCATTTCTGTGCACAGGCACAGCACCAGCACTCTGCAGATCTTAGAGACTTGAGAGGAAATATAAGTCTCTTCCCCTGTCTGTGTCATACTTGTGTCTGACATCTTGCATGTCCATGTGAGAGAGCTAAAAGAAAAGTTTGCTTCTTCCCTTATGTCTAGTAGAACACTCACTGGACTTCCTGCTTAAAGGCAAGGGATGATATATCCCTTCCTTACTTTCATACACCTGAACTGAGCTACAAACAACAACAAAATAAAGACAGAAAAGAAATAATACTTGACTTGTGTCAACATTCTTTTTTTTTTTTTTTTGGTAGAAAGTTGTTCAGTTTAATCCTCATGAAAGTGGGAAAAAAAACAGTAGTGGATTAAAGTGAGAGTTTAAGAAAATACATTTAAATATATTTTTTTACTTAAAAATGAGTTTCCTCATCATTCAAAGACCTAAGAGTTAAACTATATTGTATACACCTCAGGTACAAATTGACAAAAAATCTAATAAACCAGACTATATAAAAAGCAAGAGACATTTTTTTTTCCCAGAAAAATGTATTTGTGTTTTAGCTCATCATATAAAAAACATTAAATTTAAAAAAGGTGTATATATTTTTTCAAGTGTTAATGGTTTCACCATTCATTATTAACTATATTCCAAAAGTCCTGTAACAGCAGGGTACATTATCCTTATCTGTGTAGCACGGTGAGCATAATCTTTACACTGAGGTCACTCTCATCACTACTTCCCCAGAGTCATTATCCTCTGATGAATCCTCCTGAGGTCTCATGCGGTTGAACAGATGTAACAATACATAGCCACACTGAAATCTTGGTGAGGTTAACTGTGTTGGATGAACTAAACTTCTGTTTCTAAATGCAGTCAGTGGTAACCACAATGTCCTTCCTGTTGAGGATTCTCCTCGATTGCTCTCTTCTATGTCTGTGGCTTTATCATAATTTAACACATCCCAGTGCAGATTCACAGCCCTCCAGCGCTTAAACACTCGATAAACAGATGCACCTTCATGTACTATCAGTCCTGAAATTAAGAAAAAAAACCAACAAAGAGTTTGTACAAAATATCAATGGATACGATTTTGAGAGCAAATAGAGATGTAACACATTGTAATGAATCTGACAATTGCAGAGCCTATTAAATAACTTGTAATTCTGATAATTCAAATAAATTGTACATACACAATATAACTGGTTATTCATGTGTTTAAGATTTGGAGGCAGGGACGTGCAGAAGAAATAGAATTGTTCTCGATGAAAGCTCAACATAACCAGTATTGGAATAATCTGAGCATGTCTAACTAAACAAAGTATTTAGATTTAAGTAAACCAATATAAAAGAAACTTACTGGCAGATTTGTAAATTGAGTGTTTATGCTAGTGTTATCCTTGTTCATGGCACGTACTATTTATTTACTGAGATTTGTACTCATTTAAGTAGATCTTTAAGTAGGTTAGCCCTTCTGTAATGAACAGGATGGTCTTAAATTTATTTAAGAGTGTTTTGTAGAATTCAGTACACATACAAAAAAATTTAACTGTTTTCACATTCTTAGTTCAACTTGGGAGCACATAAGATTTGTGAAAACCTGAAGCAGCTGTAGGTATAATGACTTTCCTGTCTTGTTTCAGTAGAGCAAGAAGAAATGAAATGTTATTATTAACTATGATGAGCATGGCAACGATGATAGGCTTTCTTATTTTTCTTTAAAATTCAGTATACAAAAGTTGAGAAACATCTTCTTTGTTGAGACCCAGGAAATCTTTTAAAAGGTCCTTCAAGGAAAGTACAGATTATCTGGAGTCCTCAACAGACCAATCTGCTTATGAACTTCCATGTAGCTAATACTTATGCTTATTGTATACATTCAAGCAATTTATTTACTTAAATGGAACTTTTATTTTTCGTATGTATGTATGTATACATATTTCTACACACACTATCTATGTGTATTTCAAATATGGATTTACTGGGAGATGCATGGGGCTTCAGCCTTATTAGGTTTTTCCTCAACCAGTCTAGTAACTGATATGGTTCTGAGCAGCGTCACATGTTTTCTCTGGCTCCCTGCTTTAGGAGGAGAGCAACCTGCCTACCCAAAAACATTTATAAATCGTTTGTCCAGTGTGTTTGTTGCCTAAAATTTTCCTATACATAGCCACATCTATAATATGATCTGTGGTGCCACAGGCTACAGTCTTTTATTCCAAGAAATTGTATATCACCTGTTCCTACACAACGAAATTGTGATTTAAATGTCTGAGGTCTCTTATCATGGTTATCTGATACTAGAAAGGAAATATTCAAAGAAAGATGACACAAGCAGAAAGGATGATAAAAACATTTATATGAACAGCAAACCTCAGATTCAAGTGCAATAATTTGCAGATAGTAATGCCTACACTAACACATTTTTAAACATCATCACACTGAAAGATGGAGAAACGCAAAGAATGCTTTCAGAAGGACATGATAGCAAATGTAGCATCTCTGTAAGGCTTTCAAGTTGCCTAGAATTCATTGAAGTATCCGATACAGCATAACGAACACAATATAAACTTAATGAAATGTTAAATATTCTAAATGTATTTTGTATCAGCATAGCATTTTAGTGAAAAATTTTCTTGATTGCAAGATGTCTATCATCTTCATCTTCATCTTCTCAGATATATACAAAGCAACCTCTCCTAAAAATTTAGCACCCATGTTAATACATAAATGCACCTTCAAGACTGGCTATATTGTCTTAAAAAGGATAAATGTGTTTGATCACGAACAGAATCTACAAATCAAGTAAGCCAAGGTTTTATCACTGTGACAAAGTCCC